TCTGGGTATGGCTGTGGTAGCTGCAATTAGAATGTGTCCTATTATGATCCTGTCAATTTTTTCAATGTTTTCAGGAAATGTTTTGAAAGAGGCCAGTTCTGAGGTGAGCACTGAAATTGTAGGGTTAACTTTTTGAATTGAACTTGTGTATGTCCTTCCAATATTGAGTTAGTTTTGGGCAGTACCATAGGATGTGTGACAAAAAATCTACCAATCCACAATTTCTCCAATCTGATGTTTATTTTATTCATTCTGTATGGAGCTAGATACCACCTATAAATTATTTTAAGATGATTTTCCCAATGATTGGAACACTGCGCTATTCCTTTTAAGGTAGATGTAAAAGTGAGCCATTTCTCCAGGTCATAGTGAGCTACTATATCCTTTCTCCCAGGCAAGTCCTCTTTTCATGTAGGTAGCATGTAAGAATAACATTATGATATTGTGCCATGTCTACTGGGATAATACAAATACGTATTTTTTAAACTAGTTAATTATATTTTGCTATAATTTTGGTCCAAATTTGACATGAAAAATGTATCTTCTAATTTGTCAATAATTGTCGTGTTCTATTTTTAAATCAGTTTGAAGGTGAAATTTATCTTTTAATTTATCAAAGGATATTAAAGAATTTCCACACAAAAATCAAAAAAAAAAAAATCAAGATTTTGAATTAGTTTTGATTGCCAATGTTCCAAATTAAATTCGGGGTAATCTAGTTTTAAAATAGACAACAGCACGACCACCCAGAGCAAGGTCCAACAACACTGAACACAGTGTCCGAAGCTCTAATAGTTATTTTGGTGGTGGGAAACATCTCTATCATCTTAGGTCTTTTAGACTTCGGAAGTCATAGCATTTGATCATGCTTATTTTACCACCCCATATAAATTTAATGAAAGCAGATTGCACTGACCTAAAAAAAGACTTTGGATTAGTCAAGGGAATTGCTTGTAAGTAATACAATATTTTATTTAAGATATTCATTTTTGAAGAGGTTATTCTACTTATCCAGGATACATACATACACTTTTCTAATTCTCTTTGTGATTCTGGCCATGTTTTAGATTAAACATATACATACTATTTATGTTTTTGTACAGTTTAATTAATAAATAATCTATTCTTGAATCTCTCCAATCAAACTCAAAACGGGATTTCAGATCATCCAGATCATAACATCATGTGTGTATTGGCAAGGTTGTGTTTTACCCATGTTGAGCTTATAAAATAAAACTTTCCAAATTATGTCTAATGTCTAATAAAAGACATTTAATGTATCTACAGATTTCTTTGTTTCAGTAAGGGATAAAATAATATCGTCCGCAAACAGGCCGACTCTATGTTCTGGTGTATACAAACAAACCCACAACCTGACTTCTTGTTAGTTGTGGAATAAATGCACTTATCTTTTACAATTTAGTGTAGTACAAATCTCCCCAAGGGATATCCCAGCAAATGTCCCCTTATGAAACAGCAAAAAATATACAATACAATGGGATACAGTTTAATGATCTACAAGAGAAATTTAAGAAAGCAGAGTTTTAAAAAGTCAAAATAAAATTAAAACACTGCGCAGCTAAAAATGCACTCCACAAAATAGATGGTAGTATGGTAGGATGATGACCGTTATTAAAGGAACACTGTAGGCACCCAGACCACTTCAGCTCAATGAAGTGGTCTGGGTGCCATGGACCTCTAGTGTTAACCCTGCAGCTGAAACCGTAGCAGTTTCACAGAAACTATGTTTCACTGAGGGTTAATCCAGCCTCTAATGGCTGTCTGACTTACAGCCGATAGAGGCGCTTCCGCGCTTCTCACTGTGAAATCACAGTGAGAAGATGCTGGATGTCCATCTGAAAGCATTGAGAAATGCTTTTCTATGGGCTGTTTGAATGTGCGCGTGGCTCTTGACGTTGGCAGGAGGAGGAGAGTTCCCCAGCACCGAGGGAGCCCGGTGGTGGAGAAAGGTAAGTGGCTGAAGGGGTTTTAATCCCTTCCGCCCAGCGGCAGTGGGACCATGAGGGTGGGGGACACCTAAAGACCCTATAGTGCCAGGAAAATGAGTTTGTTTTCCTGGCACTATAGTGGTATTTTAATGAAAAAAGGAATATGACCAGAAGAGACATGATTAGCATTGTTTCTAGTAAACACGGCCCAGGGAAGTAATTGGGAACAATTATCTCGAGTGCTATTAGCAAAACAACGCAAGTATAATTCCAGAGACTGGTTAGCCCTCTCAGCCGTGCCATTGGTCTGGGGATGGTAAGAAGAAGAAAATGACAATTCAATGCCCAACTGTTTATTGAAAGCCCTCCAAAACCGAGACACAAACTGAGAACCTCTGTCAGAGAAAATATTGTAAGGGATGCCATGTAATCGGACAATTTCACGTATAAAAATAACTAATTCTTGAGAGGAAGACAATTTTTTGAGTGGGACAAAAAGAGCCATCTTGGAAAATTGGTCAACCACCATAAGGATGGTGGTCTAGCCATTAGGACTAGGATGTTCCACAATGAAATCCATGGACAAATGGGACCACGGAACACTGGGTATGGGGAGTGGATGTAATAATCCACACAGAAGTTTATGAGGTACTTTAGAAACTGCACACATAGAACAGGCCTGCACATATTCTGTAACATCTTTACTGAGAGAATCCCACAAAAAAGATCTCATGATTGCGGATATGGATTTATTAATGCCCAGGTGTCCAGCAGTCACGTTGTTGTGGAACACCTTCATGACATTTTCCCTTTCCCCCAATGGAACAAATAATTTATCTAATGGTTTATTGCAAGGCACTGGAGACTGAGCCTCCATGATGGTGTCAAGCAAAGGGGAAGATAAGGAAAGGGCAGTGGAAGTGATGATACGCTCAGATGGAATAATAGGGGATGTCTCTTGTCCCTTTACTGACTCAGTATCAAACTGTCTGGATAAGGCATCCACCTTTATGTTTTTGGGACCAGGTCTGTAAGTAATTAGAAAGTTAAAGTGAGAAAGGAACAGAGACCATCTAGAAGATAGTCGTTTAGCATTCCCTATTGTCACATATATTTATCCGCTTATAGAAATGTGGTTAATGACATTTACTGTCCACACAGGAAAAGTTGTGCCGAGCAGCAACCTAATCCACAGAAGGGTTAATGCTGAGCAGCAATTATGCAAATGAAACCTGGTAACTGACTTTGGGGTCAAAGGTCGGTTACAGCCTATCAGAACTAAAGGAGGGGTATTTAGGCCCAGTTCTCAGCCTGCTCAGTGCTCTGTCGTGGTTTCCCTTGTGGTTGTCCGAGAGCGCGTTCCTGTTTATAGTTTTCTACCTGGTTTTTGACTTTGGCTTTGTTTATTGACTTCTCTATATTCTGGTATCCTGACTCCTGGCTTTCCTCATCGCTGTGTCCCTTTCTGTGTTCCCTGACCTCGGCTAGTATTTTTGACCATTCTTTGTACGTTAAATCCGGCCATTCTAAGGACCGGTAATACGTTACTTATTTGTCATCCGTGCTGTACAGTTCTACGTGCTGGATCAAACAGTAATCCTGACACCTGTCTAGGCCAAATTCTTATGGTCAGTAATGATCAAAAGGGGGTCCTTGGAACCCTCTAAAAGCCATCGCCGCTCCTTAAGCGCAAGTATAATTGCCAACAATTCTCTATTGCCAATGTCATAATTGTGTTCAGCTGGAGACAACTTTCTAGGGAAGTAACCACATTGATGTAAAGGGGGATCCTGACTCTCCCTCCGGGATAGAAGAGCCCCTACTCACGTTTGGGATGCATCAACCTGCAGTATGAAGGGTTTGCTTGTGTCAGGATGTCTCAATATGTCAGCCGAGGCAAATCTTTGTTTGAGGAGTTCATAAGCCTCTCTAGCCTCTTTAGACCATATCGTATTGCTAGCTCCTTTGTGTGCCATATTGGTGATGGGGGCTATCACAGAAGAGAACCCTTTAAAAAATCTCCTGTAATAATTTGCAAACCCAATAAACCTTGGAATGGCTTTTAGTCCATTTGGCAGTGGCCAATGTAGGACAGCTTCAAGTTTCTGAGGTTCCATCTGAAATCCAGAGGCAGAAATGTTATACCCTAAAAACTGTACTTCTGCTTGATCAAAGATACATATTTCCAGTTTACAATAAAGCTGATTTTTCAATAAGGTTTGCAACACTTGTTTTACATGTTCATGGTGAGTCTGAAGGTCAGGGGAATAAATAAGGAAATCATCTAAATAGACTAAAACAAGTGAATAGATATAATCCCTGAGTACATCATTAATAAAATCTTGGAACACAGCTGGAGCATTAAACAAGATACTCATAGCGCCCATTTCTGGTATTAAATGTCATTTTCCACTCATGGTTTTCCTTAATCCTTACCAAATTGTATGCACTCCTAAGGTCAAGTTTAGTAAAGACTTTAGCACCCTGGAGTCTGTCAAACAATTCGGAAATGAGAGGAATGCGGTAGGCATTTTTAATGGTGATTTCAGTAAGGCTTTTGACACTGTTGCACATAGAAGGCTTATCAATAAACTTCAATCTTTAAGTTTGCATTCCAATATTGTTGAATGGGTAAGGCAGTAGCTGAGTGACAGGCAACAGAGGGTTGTAGTTAATGGAATATATTCAAAGCTTGGACTTGTCACCAGTGGGGTACCTCAGGGATCTTTACTTGGACCCATTCTCTTTAATATTTTTATTAGTGATATTGCAGAAGGTCTTGATGGTAAGGTATGTCTTTTTGCTGATGATGTTCCAGGAGGGATAAGCCAAATGGCAAATGATTTAGGTAAACTAGAAAAATGGTCAGAATTGTGGCAACTGACATTTAATGTGGATAAGTGCAAGATAATGCATCTTGGACGTAAAAAAAGGGCAGAGTACAGAATATTTGATAGAGTCCTAACCTCAACATATGAGGAAAGGGATTTAGGGGTGATTATTTCTGATGACTTAAAGGCAGGCAGACAATGTAATAGAGCAGCAGGAAATGCTAGCAGAATGCTTGGTTGTATAGGGAGAGGTATTAGCAGTAGAAAGAGGGAAGTGCTCATGCCATTGTACAGAATACTGGTGAGACCTCACTTGGAGTATTGTACACAGTACTGGAGACCGTATCTTCAGAAGGATATTGATACTTTAAAGAGAGTTCAGAGAAGGGCTACTAAACTGGTTCATGGATTGCAGGATAAAACTTACCAGGAAAGGTTAAAGGATCTTAACATGTATAGCTTGGAGGAAAGACGAGACAGGGGGGATATGATAGAAACATTTAAATACATAAAGGGAATCAACACAGTAAAGGAGGAGACTATATTTAAAAGAAGAAAACTACCACAACAAGAGGACATAGTCTTAAATTAGAGGGACAAAGGTTTAAAAATAATATCAGGAAGTATTACTTTACTGAGAGGGTAGTGGATACATGGAATAGCCTTCCAGCTGAAGTGGTAGAGGTTAACACAGTAAAGGAGTTTAAGCATGCATGGGATAGGCATAAGGCTATTCGAACTATAAGATAAGGCCAGGGACTAATGAAAGTATTTAGAAAATTGGGCAGACTAAGTGGGCCGAATGGTTCTTATCTGCCATCACATTCTATGTTTCTATGTTTCTATTTTGTTCAAGGCACTGTAGTCAATGCATGGACGTTACTCACCGTCTTTTTTAGATCCAAAAAACAATCCTGCACCAGCAATTCAGTAGTTATGCACTGTTGCAATTTAAATCGACACCACTGGATTATATATGAATCACAGTGTTAAAAAATTTAGAAACTGTTGCAATTCCAGAAGTGTATAACCACAAAAAAGGGTATCATGCAACACATAATCTAGTACATCATCTGCTGGAAAAATGCCAGGAGAGAAGTACCAACATTAGGCAGAAAGTACAAAATATACCTATAAGGGGCGATAGCAAACAGGACTAGATATGGGAGAGTACCTGGCGTATCCTCATCTTTAGTATGAGACACAAGAAGGGAAACCAGGGTATACCAGATGTTTACAAATACATCAGACTGGTCCCACAGTCCCCTTCAGTCTAGGGTCCAAACAAATAGAAATAAAGTCCCAATGTGTCTCAAAACTCCTCTCTACAAACCAACTAATGGCAGTGGCGTCTCTAGGATTCATTTTTAGGGGGGCACATGGTGGGCCAGGGACAAAAGTAGGGGGGCACATTTAACCCCGCCCTCGCCACAGTTTGACCCCGCACCTGTCACATGTTAAGCCCCGCTCCCGACACAATGCGGTGTTTTTTTTTTTTTTATAATCCCTGGTGGAGGATTCATTATTTTCCACCAGGGATTATTAAAAATCAAAACACATTTCCCTTGATACAGTGCCATAGTTGCCAACATTTGAAAAAAACATTCCAAGGACATTTTGCAGCACAGCTAATAATTACTGTCTGTGTATAATATCCCTGGACAGTCAGTGCTCTCTGTATAATACAGGGTTGTGTGTATAATAAATTGGGACAGTCAGCGGTCCCTGTACAGTGCTGCTCTCTGTATAATACATGGCTGTGTGTATAATATCCCAGGAGAGTCAATGCTCCCTGTACAGTGCTGCTCTCTGTCTAAATCCAATGAGTGCTCTCAATTTGTTCCATTTGTATATTTTGCATGGAGAGGCACCTGGTCATTGCTGAATTAAAGGACCACTCTAGGCACCCAGACCACTTCAGCTTAATGAAGTGGTCTGGGTGCCAGGTCCTTCTAGGCTTAACCCATTTTTTCATAATTATAGCAGTTTCAGAGAAACTGCTATAATTATGAATGGGTTAAGCCTTCCCCTAATCCTCTAGTGGCTGTCTCATTGACAGTTATGCGCTATGCGTTTCTCACTGTGATTTTCACAGTGAGAGCATCGCGAAAGCATTAGAAAGCAAAATGTTTGCGCGAATGCTGAATGCGCTAGCTCTTGCGCATTCAGCCGGGCGGGAGGAACGGAGGCGAGAGAGGAGGAGAGCTCTCCAACGCTGGAAAAAGGTAAGTTATTACCCCTTTCCCCCTTCCAGAGCCGGGCGGGAGGGGGTCCCTGAGGGTGGGGGCACCCTCAGGGCACTATAGTGCCAGGAAAACGAGTATGTTTTCCTGGCACTATAGTGGTCCTTTAATGCTTTTGTTATGGGATGAGTGCCAGAAACTATTGTGATTTTATATATATATATATATATATATATATATATATACACACACACACACATACATACACATATATACACATACATACACATACTGTGGCGGAACCAACCTTGCAACTATGCACTGGAGAAGCCTGGTTGCCAGCCTCCTGCCATGTGACTATGGCCCCTGGGATGTATTGCCCTTTAAAGACATGATTTGGGCATAATGTATTTGTGTTGTGCTGCTGCTAGCCCCTTTTAAGAACCATCTGGGGACATACTGTGGAGTTACTGGGTGGCCACCATTTCCTGTATCAGAAGCACATGGTGAGAACAATGGATGGCGGCCATTTTAACTCACAGACACTGTGTGGACTTTTCAACACGGTGCCATCTCGCCAGTATTTGTTGCACAGAGACATCGTGCGGTGGTTTTGGACTATACAGCAGGGGACACATTATACAGTGATTGTTTTTTATTTAGCCTGTATATGTTCTGCAGAATCTGCATTAAACTGTATTTTCCAAAGTACTGAATGGATCTTGGTGAATTTTGGATATGTGGTTCACCCAGATCCCCCAGTTCCAAGGATATACTTTTTATGGGGTTATTGCATGTTTTGGGGTCCCTGTGATGTGTTTTATGAAACTGTATTTCTCTGGCTGTGATAATTAGATTACCCATTGTGTTCAGTAATCATATCACAGCCAGAGGGGAGGATTTTGTGTGGGAGTGTCTGGGTGTATTGTATGGATTGATTGGCTGTTTTGTAACGCCCTGTGGGCTGTACTATGTTTGTGGATTGGGAATAAAAGAGACTGTATGTGACAGTACAGGGAGTTCCTGTTTTAACCCTCAAAGTGAAGTGTCGTCTCATTATTGGGGAAGGATTTATTGTATGCTGTTCCAGTTTGACTGCTAGGAGAGTAAACCTATTCGTATGGTTCCTATTCAACTGTCTACAGCATTCAAATGCTTGAGAGAAGGTATACGCTTCTCTGGTTCGGTGATTGTGGCGTCTGCTGCAGTGCTTGGAGTCCTCATGAAGCGCTAGGAGCATCTTTCAACGGAGGTACCCAGTCGGGGTGCCAGGCGATCCGTTACACATACATATACACACACACATATATATATATTGTACAGTGAGCGCAAATAGGCTCACTGACAGACAAAAAACTCTGACTCACACACAAGCTTAATACAGACAAACTCACTTGTATAAATACAAGGCTCACTACAAAGAGGTTCAGTGACACACACAAGCTCACTGACACACACATGCTCACTAAATAGAAGCTCACTGACACACACAAGCAGTACCATCTTAACAGTGTTAAGGGCCCCGGGCAAAGCAGTGCACTGGGGCCCTTCCTACACAACAACTCACAGGAATAAAAAATTTAAATTATTGATAGACTGCTGAGTACATACACACAGTACACTGAATACGAACACAGAGAGACTGCTGAATACATACACACAGATTTCTGAATGCACACAGACTCCTGAATGCACACAGGTGTTGCTAAATGCACACAGGCTGATGAGTCCATACACACACACACAGACATATAGATTGCTGAGTTCATACACACACAGACTGCTGAGTCAAAATACACACAGACACACAAACAAAGACAGCTGAGTCCAAACACACACACAGACTGCTGAGTCCATACACACACACACGCAGACTGCTGAGTCTATACACACACACACAGACTGCTGAGTCTATACACACACACACAGACTGCTGAGTCCACACACACACACACAGACTGCTGAGTCCATACACCACACAGATTGCTGAGTCCACACACAGACTGCTGAGTCCATACACACTGCTGACACACACACAGACTGCTGAGTCCATACACACACACACAGACTGCTGAGTCCATACACACACACACAGACTGCTGAGTCCATATACACACACATACACACACACACACACAGAGACTCTGCTGAATCCATACACACACACACACACACACACACACACACACACCAAGCCTACCTGTCACTGGAGGCTGTTGCTGAGGGTCAGACGGCCATCTTCCATGCTTTCCAGCAGCAGCATGGTCTGCTGCTTAACGGCAGGGGTGGGGCTTATCTTCAGGAGGTGGAGCTTTGTTTGGGGGAGGGGCCTGTGCCGGGAGCCTGTCAGTGTTCCCTCCGGCCACAGTGCTCCCTCTGGCCCAGCACTGCATTCCCTCGGGCTGTCACAGATTGTGACAGCCCGAGGGAATATAATTTAAACACATGGCCAGCAAGTTGCCGGCATTTGGGGGTGCCCAAGGGGGGCACAGCATGATGTAGGGGGGCCATGGCCCCGTCTGGACCCCCCCTAGCGATGCCACAATTCTTGGCCCGTCTGGTGGCAGCATAGAGCTGTATTGTAATCAGTGCTTAAAAAATACACTCAATTAATTTGTCACTATTGTAGCTGTCACACATAACGGGGCTACTAGCCTAAACCCAACTATGTATGCTAGGGAAAAGTCCACTCAAATTTGAAGCAAAAGGTAGGTAAATCGAAAGGACAGGAGATTGAAGATAGTTGAAAATAAAGTGAGAACAGGTAATAAAGGAGGGCCAGGTGCCTGTAAATAGATCCCTACATTTTAGTCCACATGACTCTATAGAATAGTAGGGGAAAACTGAGCTGGAAAAGAGTACCCTTAAGTATCTAACCCCATAGGTACATTGTCTAGCAATCTACAAAAGTTAAAATAATTCCAAAATAGCTTAAGGCATCAGAAGCCCGTCGCATGTTTCGGCGGTATGTTCCGCCTTTTTTAAGGGCTGCAAGCTTTACATTTCTGATTGGCCGAAAATGGCCTTTGAACCCAAAACGTGCGTGCCCGTCTCCTGCGTGACGTCATGTGCACGCTGATGCAGTCACTAATGTGGTCGGACGTGGGGGGATAATTTGGAAGGGACATGGAAGGGAGAGGATCACTAAAGGACAGGGAAGAGGACCATTAAGGGAAGGGAAGGGGAGGAGAGAGGAACACTAAGGGACATGGAGGGGAGAGTGGCACACAGGGGGGCAGGGAGGCCTGAGTGGGGAGAAAGATACACAGAGGGACATGAGGAAGAAACAGATGGGCGTGGGGGTGAGAAAGATGC